CGCTGGCTGGCTGCCCACTGGCTGAAGATCTCCAAGGCCTGTCCATGAGGGAACATGAGCCCGGAGTAATCGTGTCTGCATCAATCTGGCGTCTTCATATAGTCCATGATCAACAGCACACCGAGGCCCTGGTTTCATTCGGTCTATTTTGTGGAGCAACGGAGGAAAGGTTAGGGCCTCGTACCATGGCTCACTGCATACTACGAGTCTACTCTGAGTAGCTGCTGGCTTACCTGACGAAAAGGTCGTGCCAGAAGGCTGTGATCAATCAGACGTTGTTCTTGCTGAAAGATGAAGAGAGAGTAGCCAAGTTTTGGCTGTGGGAACGCGGGCGGGGTAGATTACATAGAGGATAAACACAAGTCATCAGCTCCTCCCAATCAGCTCTTTCCGCCCAGTGCGCTCACCACAGCTGGTTCTCGTGCTCCTCGTCGTCGTTCACGCTCCCAACGACGTGCAGCTGCATCGACACCCCTCTGTATCTCACAGCACATGCCTACCGTACCCTCCACCTTCCAAGACTCCTCCGTCGGCGTCGTTCTCCCTGGCGTTGCTGACCAGATCACAGCACTCGACATCCCCAACTCGCCCACCCCTGATCCTGACTTGGACGACCTCGTTCTCCTCCCAGTAGTCACAGGCGATCCTCTTGGGGCTATCACCTCAGTACGTCCCCTTCCTATCTCGCAGTTCTCACCGTTAATGACACCATGTGCGCATTGCTACCTGTAGGTTTCTAACGACCGCACTCCCGCCCATTTGACCCGCGAGCCTAAGCCACGCCTTAGTCTCTCGGACCTCACCCTCCACTCACCGTCCTCTGGCATCCTCGGTACACCTTTCGACATCTCCGAACCTCGATTCGAGTACCCATTCCCAGAGTCCACCCCTGATCCCGTTGTCTATGGGCCCTCCTTTCCCGCATTCTCCACCCACATTCCGGTCTTTGCTTCCTCCTCCCAGCTGCCACCTGTGTCCACGTCCTGGGGAAAGCTTGACTCGAGCAAGATGTTCTCGCCCACCCATCCCAAACTTCAGGCCCGGGACCCGCCAGTTCCTCCAGGTCTTGTCAACAAGAAACGATGGAGCATGAATGCGAACGTCCCGCCTCCTCAGGCCCCGACTCGGGCTCGCAGCCCGACAATGAGAGCGAAAGAGGAGCGTGGGACCAGCAGGCCAGGAAGTGAAGAGAGAAAAGCAGGACTGGTTGGGAGGTCGACTGCTTCGACCCGAGTGGTTGCCGCTCGTCCCGCCAGTCCATTCGGGAAATCGACTGTCTCTTCGGAGGACGAGCGCACACCGACTCTGCCGTCGATCCACGGCGCTTCCCAACCGTCAATTTCTCCCCCTTCCGCAGAAACCTCCGGTGCGGCTGTGGAAATACGATGAGGATATCCGCAAGCCAGCACGGACGGCGTTTGTACCTGGCTCAGCATGGAATCATAATATCCGTGCGTTGTGGCAAACGTCTCTCCCACCACCGTCTTCCTCCCACTCTTACCTTGTAAATTCTAATCCTCAATGGGGCCCATATATCTGCCGGTCACCTCTACCCCGGGCCACCCTCTCGCTCATTACTGCATGTGTTCTATCAAGCTCGTACCCGCTACAATCCTTTAAATCTCAGCACGATCCTTCTCTTTATTCACGCATCCCCCCACAGCCTATCCACATTCTCATCTTGTTCGCTCATACAACACAACACAATACCGCGCACCACTCACCCTCGCCCATCGCACAACAACCACGCGAGTGCCCACACACTATCCGCTATGCATCTATGATATTTTCGTTTCCCTCCCATATCTTTTCGCATTTGCCCTTCTTCCTTAAAAAGCACCCTTTCATTCACCTCGCAGCTCCGTTCTGCGCTCGGCGCGTCAATGTCGAAATGACAGACCTCCGCCGTTTTTCTTCTACACTTTGGGCTTCGTCTTTTCTCTCATGTCTGTGTCTCCTCGCTCTATTGCTCTGTCTGATCCGGTATACACGTAGGATTGTCTTTCTGGTTCTGGTTTCTTGGTTTTGTGTTGTATCAGAATACACTCATCTCACCTGTGACGTCATTTGAGACGTAGCTCCGTTATGTCGGCTGTTCAGTGTTCGTGGGGAGTATTGGGAGCAGATAACAAGCAGATAAGGTCTCTGTAAATGATCGCAGTTCTGCTTGTCCAATGTCCAGTACGGCGACTTGGAGGTTGTCGGAAAGTGGCAAGCTGGTTAGCGGAATTCCAAACTCCTCTAATTCGGAAGCGCCGATCATCAAAAGTTACGGTCAAACATCGACAAGACACTTATAGCAACCACAGAACGAAAGGTCGATCCCAAGGTATACTTACTCGTGTCTTGTTTCCTATAATCGAAAGCAGAAATCGGGGTTGTTCTCGGCCCAGATGCTGCTGGCCGCCACGCTGGCAGGATATGTCCCCAGAACAACTTCCGACATTCCCTGCTTCAACTTGTCCGAGCCCATTACTTCCTCTATCGCTGAAGGAGATCCACGCTGATTGCGACCGCTTTTGCAGGTCACAATATCCTAGTACTTCGAGGTCAAAGTGCCACTCGGTACTGGCAATGACCGTCTTTCAGCAGGGAGGTGCCTCAAGGCCAGGTGGACAAAGCGTGCCATTCACCCTCTGACTCCGAGTGGCGAGCACAATGCCCTCCCTCCCGTCCTTTTGCGACTTCTTTATCTTGACAGACATTCGCGTTTCCCCCTCCTGAAATTCACATCTGCCTTCAGAGTCACTCCGCTGGCAAGTCACAGTGCTCATCGATATCTGAATTCTTTCTTTCTCGTCATGGTCTCTCTCTGTATATATGGGCATATCCGGGGCATTCAACTGCTCCCTTAAACACCCTCTCCATCCTTATCCCCCGCCTCCGCCCTCTCGCCCCGCCTCACTCGTTCTTTCCAGCACCCAGGAGTTGTTGATCAACTTACTGTCATCAAAGCCCACACCGTCTCTACTGCCCCGATACCCAACTCATCCAAGCAATACCCTCTAGCTTCACGCTTTGTCACACACACACACACTTTTTGGCTTGCTTTGACAAGGCCAAACCACCCATTCGTTCTCTATCACATATATAACCCGCGCCTCTCCCTGTTTTACCCCACTCAACCCTTTCTACATACATTACCATGACATCTTCTCTTGTCCGTGAAAACAGTGTCCTGCTGCACCAGCAGCTACGTGTTGCCGAGGAAGTAAGTACAATCGAACTCCGAAGTTCATGCATCGTCTAACAAAAGCTGCTTTTGATGCCCCATAGAGCGCAGACTTTCAGAAGGATATGTCGTATTTCTTCAGTTTCCTAGAAGGAACTGATCCCGAGCCTGAATTATTCATGCCTCAATTGACAGTATGTTTGTTCCTGTCACCCACTTCAAACTCCAACTAATCTTACCGCTCCCACCCAGACAGCCGAGCCATCGCGCGAACGGTGGATGGACGCACTCGAAAGGCGATACAGCATGTCCTCTACATCTTTCATGGACTCCGACCCCTTCAATTTCTCTTTCCCCAGCTCCTCGCTCGCCTCCCCTTCCGCCGCCACCTCCTCCTTCGCCCCACTGCCCAAGCAGGATCTTGCGAAAACGGCGTTCAAGCCTCACGCGCCGGCGGTGGATATCCCGAGGGCGGAGAAGGCGGAACCGGTGGTGACGCTGAGGGACTTGGAGTTGTTTGCGCCGAGCACGTTGGGGACGGTGTTGGAGGAAGAGGAGGAAGAGGGTGTGAATGTGAGTGCGGATGCTCATGCCGATGCCGGTGTTGGTATGGGGCTGGTTAGGAAGCACTCTGTCTCGCAAAGCATCAAGGCCTGGCTGGGCGAGGACGATGGGCTCTTTGAGGTACGTTTTGAACCTGTGCCCGTGTAACTTGGGAGTGACTTCGATCGTGAAGATTGGCCCTCCGATTTCCAAGCCGGATCACAATGCTCTCGATTTTCTCTTGAACGCCCCTTCCCCCACACCTTCTTTGTCTATCGGCACCTCAACTCCATCAGCTTACAGTGCCGAGCTCTCCGATGAAGATGAAGATGATGAGGACGAGTACGTTCCTATGTCTTCTACACGCAAGCGCACTAGGCGTGTGCACACAAGTGCACCAGCATCCCGCCAATCGTATAATCACATCCGCGCAGAGGTATGCTCCTCCTATCTTTCCACACGCACAGATTCTAACGCAACCCTTCCGATGAAGAACTCCCCCAAGAAACCCCGTACACTCCCCTCCACATCCGCCCTTTCCTACCCCTCCTCCTCCCACCCTTCCTCCCAAACACCCACCCAACTCCACTGCCTCTTCCACTCCTGCTCCGCCCCGTCCTTCTCCAACGTCCGCGACCGCAACCGACACATGGAAACCCACTTCCCCGATCGCGAACACCCGCGGTGCGCCGCCTGCAACAAACAAATGTCCCGCCCGGACTCCGTCAAACGCCACCAGAACTCCGTCGCGGGGAGGGCGTGCAGAATCGCGTTGGCGGGCAAGCCTGGGGCGACCGTGCCTGAGAAACCGTGGTGTGTAGGGGACGAGTGGAGGAAAGAGTTGAGCGTGCCGCCGACGTGGGATCCGTTGTATACGGTTTGGTTGGAGAAGTGCAAGGGGGCAATGGTCGCTGCGTAGGGTTGGCGGTTTTGGCTAATAATGACGATTTCGGGGACGAGACCTGGTGTCTCTTTGGTAAATTATTTCGGGACTTTCTCTCTTTCCTGCGTCTCTCTTGTAATGCTGTCTCTTCCTTCCTTTCAGGTGTATCATTTAGGATTTTAGGACTTTTACATTGTACTCATTGTACTCAAACTACCAAACTCAACTCGTCTACTCCCGACTCCTCTTAATCCTGTAATTCCAAATCCAGAGCTCTCTTGCACGTCTTTCTCCCCTTCCAGAGAACTTCAAGACTACCCTGTCGAATGAGTATTGTACATGTACGCAAAAAGAACTTGGCACACACGTATGGGAGAAAAGCAATTTTTCGCATTGAAAAAATGGACACACTGGGAATTGAACCCAGCACCCCCCGCATGCAAGATTTGAACAATGCTAAGCGGATGTGATAACCAACTACACCATGTGCCCGGTTGCTGTGTATTGCGAACTGTACCACACAGACGACCGAAGGGAACCTGCCGTACGATTTTTGTGATCATGAACTGTGTCGGCACACGGTCCAAGTCATCGTGGTAGTGATACAATGGATATATTTAATTCGATACATGTCGATTGGTCTCAAAAGTTACACATCGCGTTGAAGCTTCAAAGTGGTGTTGGGTTATCTTTCCCCAACCTTTCCTGCCTTCCAATGAGTTCCATTCCTTACCCCCGCAAAAAACAGTCATGGTATCCGGGACGCGCTTACGCGACTTTAGGCTTTGACGCCACACTGGCTATGTCGACGGACAACAAGTCCTGCGTGAGGAGGAGAAGCAGGGTGAGTTTCCTTATCTCGAAATCGAAAGAATTTTTTGAGGGACATACCTTTCCGGCACGCAGCTCGGCCGGGGTGGGCATCAATCCTAGGCGGAGGAGTTCGGACGCTTTGCTGACCGCAGGATCGCGTTGCATGCTACAAACATTTCCTCCAAGTCAGAAAGAACGATGGGACAGATTGGGGTGAATGGATACTGACCTGGCGACGGCTATAACCTTGTCTTGCTTAACGTAGTACACGATGAACTGTGGAGGGAGAACACGGTGGTTTGATGAGTGCGCAGCAGAAAGGGAAGGAACGGGAGAAGCACATACCTTGAGATCATCCAAGTTTCCATCCACGATTACATCGTCAAAGCCAGCGCCGACACCGCAATATCTGAGTTGCTGGCCCTCTGAAGCAGCATTCAACCTACTGAATTCACACGCTGAAGTTGGCTGCACTTACGGGCACTCCAGAATACTGGAACCTTGACAAACGGTTGTCCTTTGCCTTCCGCGATAGTCTTACCCACTGCACGACCGTGGTTGCCAGCGACGTTCCAGTGCTCGATTCGCCTCAGCTCGCCAGTGCCAGGCTGAGGGTACAATGCGATATCGCCTGTGGGTGTTACGTGAACGTCAATTCATGCCACAAAGTATTGGCGTTGGACTGTGGACCTACCGATTGCGAAGACATTATCCAAACCCTTCACGCGCAAGAACTCGTCCACAGTGATAGCACCGGTCTTGTCTACGAGGTTTTCGAATCCGTGGCTAGACTTGATGTATTCAGTGGCGGGCGCAACACCGACACCCATGATGACGGCGTCAGCCTCGAGTGTGATATCCTTCCCTTCAGAATCGGTAATAACGACGGAGCCTGCCTTAGAGGAATCGCTAGAGGAAGGGACGATCTCTTTGACCTTCGTAAGCATATGGAATTTGACTCCTTTCGATTCGTGGAACTACGTGCAACATGTCAAGCATATGCACTAGAACTCAAGGATATGTGACAGACCTTCTTGAGAGCAGCACCAACTTGCTTGCCAAGCACCGCCTCGAAGGGGAACTCCTCCATACCGATAACATCTATGGAAGCCAGGTTCTTCTTCTGGACGGCAGCGACCAACTCCATACTGATGAAGGAGGATCCAATCACCACAAGTTTCTTCCCCTCAGTCACAGCTGTAAGGTCGCCATCATCATTGCTTGTACTTCACACGCAATGGCAAATCACACGTACATGCATCGATCTTCTTGGCGTCGTCCACACCGCGAAGTGTGAATACATTACTGAGGTCCTTCCCGCCAATAGGCAGCTTTCGTGGGACTCCACCGGTGGCGAGAACCAGAGTCTCGTAGGGAACGCGCTCTTGTGTGCTGGCAACAACGACTGCCTTCTGATTAAAATCAATAGAGGTAACTTCTACGCCCGTGCGAAGAGCCGTGTTGTATTTCTCATGAAGAACCGACGAGGAGAGCCATTCCAGCTTGGATGCGTCAGTAACGAGTGCTTTACTGAGTTTTGTCCTAATATCGACGCGTCAAACGCGGCAGTGAAGTGAACCAATAGTAAAACATACCTGTCAATAGGCGCATATGGCTCTTTGGAGAGGACGGTGATGGGACCGGAGTAACCGTGCTGTTTCCCGAGTTACCGGTGAGACCGCGGCGAAAGCGAGTGTGAAATACAGACGACATACTTCACGCAAACTCTCAACGGTCTGGAAGGCACCGCTACCACCGCCGACGATGACCACACCGGCACTGGTTGTGGTCACGGATTTTGCAAGAAGCTTTGGTGGTCTGGAGAAGTTGGCTTTGGTAGTCTGTCCCGGATCGGCTGTGACGTGAATCTTGCCGTTCTCGACGTGTGCTTTGAAGGAATGAAGAGCTGTGGGAGCGGGCGCGTCCTCTGGAGTGATAGATAACCATCAATACCCCTTCAAATCTCTTTCACAACTGAATTAGAGTACGCACCGATGTCTCCGGTACAGACATTGAAACAGGCTGGATACGGACCGTCAGCTTCAAGTTGAGAGTCGTACGCGGCCTAGAATGCTATCATACGGACCTCCGTGCCATGGGCATACAACGCGGCCGTCTGATGTGAGAACACCCTTTGCAAGTGGAGCGCCGTAGTGGGTGCAGAAAGCACTGGTTGCGTGAATCTTGTCGCCGAGACGAGAGAGAAGAACCTTTCCGTCTCCCTCAAAGTCGACTTGTTTCCTGCGTTTCCCGGTTGAGGACTTCCACTCGACAACGCTATTGGCACTCACATTTCACCATCTTTGAGTTCGGAGTCGTCGAGGACGGCGATCGTCTTCTGGGACATGCTGCGATAGATGCTGGGACTGCGTTGGATGAGGTGAGAGTGGGAGAAACGAGCAAAGGCGAACGATGAGCGGATGGACTTGAGAGAGAACATATAAACACCTCAGACGCACCCAGGCTGTTAATATTATGACTGAGCAGTCTGCCATGACCTCATACACCCCCACAGTCACGGTCCAATCACAGTCCTCCAATTCCACCGCAGTCACGGTCGCGTCGGTCACAGTCACACCCATCACACCCGTGACACCTCGCGACAGATTAATTGCTCCTTGAACCATCCATGCCCCGCAAGTATCTCTGCGCGTACGCAGAAGTAGATCCCCGCGAAAAGGCCAGGGCTGCACGTGCCAAAGCCAAAGCTCGTAAAGATGCTCTCACTCCCGACGAGAAGGGGCTAAAGAAGGAGGAAGCACTGGAGCGCAAAGCATTGAGGGCATTGAAAACGGAATGGGAGAAGTGCTTGACGCCATGGACCGGGAATGACCATCAGTTCCCTGAAGGAACAAAAGTCTTTACCTCTCTTTTATTTCTTCGCCATTGAGCGCACGCATCCTCACCAGGCCTTGTTCAAAAGCGATGGTATGCTTGTTGTAACGCGTCTGAATGCATGGACCAACCTCGTTCCCGATAACGAAACGTGACCTTGGTCTCAACAACAAGGACATCGGTTCCCTTCCAAGCTTCCTCTGGCTCTGCAAAGCGCATCTACTCCGCTGAACAGCTCGTCGCTCTTGCCAAGCGCAAATACGGGAAGGGCACTCGGTGTTTGGATTTCAATGATGTAGGCTGCGTTTGCTGCGATCGAAGTGCTTCGAGGTGGTCAGATGTGCTCTTCCTGCCTGGAGGGCCATCTTGGAGGGGTTACTCCTCGAAGTAGTTGAGAGATTTAATACACATGATTTTAGATGTCGTGTTTCGGTATGGATAGAGATACCCACCCGTTAACATCGTAGTAATGCATTGAACGTCCACTCCGATTTGAATCCTCTGCAAGTTCGTTCGGGATATGGATCGGGGACAGGGTTAGCAGTGAAGCAGGTTGCATGTGCCGAAACCCTCCCTCATCGAGAAACATGTCATCTATTCAGAGCAGGAATACTGCAGTCTAACAAATATGAGACGAAGGAACCTGTTGTTCTTTGGCACTCTACGCAGTTTCCACCACCACTTTCTTATCTCCGTTGCCCTCGCCGACGATCTCTGTTCTAACAATCTTCCCGTTCATCTCTCTCCTTTTGTCCACCTCGACGTACTCTTCCGAATCCGACTTTCCCACCCATTTCCAGGCGCTGTCTTTGACGAAATCGGAGTACTCCCAGATGGCTGGTTCGAGATGGTCGAGGGAGTCGACCCAGACGTAGGTTTGGGCTGTGACTGCGGGTGGAAGGGCGTCGAGGGGAGGGAGGGAAGGGGTTGTGCGGGGGACGATGACGTTATCGGAGTTCAGTGGTTCGGCTGAGACGAGGGGATGGACGGAGACGGTCTCTCGAGTGTATTCCTGTATGACTGCGGGTGAGAGGATGCGCAGGGTGTATGGCGCGATACGTACGTCTCCCTCGAAGATGTCCAGGAGCCTGATGTCCTCGTCTGTGAGGCCTGTGACGAGGATTCCGCGGACGGAGTTTTCGTCTTGGGTGAGGGGTCTCTGGAAGATGGACTGGCTGTTGTGTGTGGGGACGATGGCGGGGTAGTCGGCATTCTGGAGAGGAGATCAGCGAGGGAGTGGGATGAGAATGAGAGTACCTTTATTCTGTGGCGGGTGTAGCCCTGGAGAGGGAGGGGGGTGAGTGAGTGGGATGGAGTGGTGAGTGTGAGCTGACCAGGAGGACTGCCGGAGAGACGGCGAGGTGCTCTGCGGGGTTTCCGATGACGCGGCGGAGGATCTGGGGGTGGATGAGGGTCCCGTAGAAGAACGCCGCCATGGTTCAGTTGATGTCACCCGCGTCTCTCCTCTTCCTCCTCCTCCTCCCAGACATGGGCCGACGCTCCCACCCATTCCCCTGGCCACTCGTCTCCTACGCTCTCCTCACCCTCTTCGTCGCCTCCTTCCTCCTCCTCGGAATCATATTCAGGAGCCCCCACTGGCACATCCACCTCTCAAAGAAGAAGCCATTCCGTATGTCCACCTTTCCTCCACAACCACCCTCTGCTGATGCCGCTGCACTCCCAGACTTTCCAGATTTCGACAGAATCACCTTGTTCAGCTCCTTAGACGACCACATAGGTACACATCTCATCTTCCTTATCCTCTCCTTGTCTAATCTCCCACAAGATAGCAATGACCGCATTATCATTATTGGCGACACACATGGCATGAACCACTCTCTCGC